TTATAATAAACGATCTAAATACATGATGAAATGAATATGCATTTTTGAGATGAATGGGGATTTTTTTAAAATTTAGAAGTAGTATTCATCATGAACTGACATCAGTTGGGGAACCATTGAAAATCTAGGAGAACTGGACAGCTGTTTCGTCCTAATATGGAACCGACCCAGTGGCTGAATGGTTAATGCGTTCACCGTGAAATCTGAACGTCCTGACTTCGATCCCTAGCCGGGTAGTGGGTGCATAGTGCTGAGGAGTCCCATACTAGGACGAAACAGCTATCCAGTGCTCCTAGACTTTTAATGGTTCCCCAACTGATATCAGTCCATGATGAATACTACTTCTAAATTAAAAAGAAATGAATATGCATCATGTAAATAAATCTCTTTTTATGTTTAGTAATCAAATGAAGTTGACAACTTCCAACATAATTTAAAAATATAAATCCTAACAGATCGTGAGTTACGAAATGGACATTCTTGAACAATAGTTTTAATAACCTAACGATCAGAATCCGGGAGAACCCTAAAGGAAGTAGCTTCCTTCACTTATCTAGGAAGCACTGTTTCAACTACAGGTGGCACTGACGAGGATGTCAAAGTCAGAATCGGAAAAGCAACATTGGCTTTCATTAATCTGAAACTAGTGTGCAGATCCACTGCATTCAGCACAAAGAACAACATCCGGATTTCCAACACCAATTCAGTCAAGTCAGTGCTTCTGTATGTTTCAGAAATTTGGCGCGTTACGAAAGGCATTTCCAACAAACTACAGACAGACATCAACAACTGCCACCTACACTGGCTCATTACTGAAGATCAGATGGCCAGAGTAATAAGAATAAGCAACAAAATACTTTGGCTGGCTGGTTGGCAAAGGACCAACTAACAACCTATCACTCAACAAATATGCACTGGGATGAAGTGGTGATGGATTGGGCATGCATTGAGAAGGCCGACTGGGGACATCAAGCGTCAGGCCAGGCACTCGAGTGGAACCCAGATGGGAAACGTCGAGTTGGGCATCCCAACTGAGGATGACATGGAGGAGATAGTGTGAGGAGGAAATGAGAGCTTGTGGGCAGTGGTGGAGGCAGGTTCAAAAGATTGCAGAAAACAGAGCGCATTGAAGACGTGCTACTAAAGCCCTATGCTCCACTAGGAATCCAAGGGACAAATAAATAAATAATAAATGATGATGAGAATTGAATGTCTTATTTGGAGTAACATACTTTCTGATGAATAGGTAAGAGGAAAACACCTACAATAGTTAGAATTTGTATATTTCTAAATGAAATTACGAATCGCTGAGTGATAAGCATAATTGATTCCGATATAATGCTGTGTTAAACATCACACAGGAAGGAAACTATACGCTACACAGCTTCAACTAACTGAATTCCCGGAACAAGTTACATATACCACATGAATCGTTAAAATAAAAGCCATTATGAAAGCAATTTCCAGAACAATCACACTGCTTTAATCGATATAAATTAAGTTCAAGGTTGTTTTAACAATAGACATTAATCTTGTTACCATGTAAAGAACGGATTAGGTTAATGACCTCTCAATTAAAATAATTTAACCTGGTTAACTAAAAACCAAAAGAAAACGTATTTAGCCTTTAATGATGAATAGATGCTAACATTGGAGTCCAGGACGCGCGTTTCATTCTATTTGAAGCTTGTCAGCTAGAACTCGACCTCAGAGCCGATCGCTTCAAACGCTCGAGAGCGTTATCCATTAGACCAAACAGTGAGGAAAGCCACTTCTTGTTCGACAGGTGCAGTTTTTTGGTGTTGCTAAATGGACCGAAGTGATCAGTCTCTATTGGCATATGGAATCTTGTGCTAATGCCTCCATATTACCTATGTTTCAATCATATATTATTGATAAATAGTGGCTAGGAGTGGGATTCAGGATGCGCGTTACATCCTATTTGGAAACAACATCGCTCACTAGGAGGCAGGTACATATAGCTGATGAGTCCTAAATAAGACGAAACCCGTGTCCTGGATTCCACTCCTAGCCACTATTCATCTTTAATATATAGTTAAAACAAGTAATACCGAAGCATCCAAGCAGGAGCCTATATACCAACAGAGACCGATCGATTCGGTCCATTTAACAACGGGATAATAGAAGCAACAATATTATTCAGTCATTCATTACAAAATTGTAGAAAGACATCCACATTATTAAATTAATGCAGTAACCTATGAGTTACCAAGTTGCCTTTCCACAACTTGATGAAGTAAGATAATATACACATATAAGAATATTCAGAGTGATTGGTGATAGGTTTATCATCATTTTAAAATTTGTCCTTTGGATTCCTAGTGGAACATAGAGTTTCAGTAGCACGTCACCATTTCACTCTCTTCTCTCTAGTCTTTTCAACCTGGCTCCACCACTGCCCACAAGCTTCCATTTCTTCCTCACACCATCTCATCCTCCATGTCACCCTCGCCTCGTCGTTTCCCATTCGGTTTCCACTCGAGGACCTGACCTGCTCTGGTGCATGATGTCTCCAGACGGTTTTCTCAATGTATGTCCAACCTAATCCATCTTGTGCATATTTGTTGGGCAATAGGTTCTTGCTTCATTGGTTCGACGTCAGCCAACCTGTCAGAGTTCCTCCTTGCTTTTTCTTATTATCGAGTGAGTGTAGGCGGTTGTTGTTGTTGATGTATATAGAAGCACTGACTGACTTGACTGAATTAGTGTTGAAAATCTGGATATTGTTCACACTTTATGCTGAGTGCAGTAAAATGTAGTGCACTAGATCTCCACACTGATTAGCTACAGAATAATGCAGGAATGGATGTCTTGCTGTCTTTCCAATCCTTGCTGCTTTGACATTGTCATCTGTGCCTGTACCTGTGCCTGTGCCGTGTGTAGTTGAGACGATGCTGCCTAGATAGGTAGGTAGGTAGGTAGGTGGAAGAGACAACTTGCGTTAGATTTCTCTCGTTGATGGTGATTCGTGCTTGTTGTTGTTGTTGGTTGCATATCTTCATCATGTGTGTCTTCTCTACATTCACCTGAATGAAGTCGTGTCTTCCTTTACTGACTCGCATCGTCTTGTCTTGTCTGTCAACTTGTTAGTTTTCGAGTGTAGATGTTGGAGTTTGTGCGGCAAGACATTAGACATAAATCATCATCGTTGGCGAAATCCAAATCTTCTAGGATCTTTTCATCGGTCATAAGGTTTATGCTAAGACATTTTCACAGTCTAGCATATTATCACTCAAAAATTTTTATTTTGAACAAAAAAAATGTAGCAGATATATTTATAGACAAAAAGATAATATACACGATGTACTTAAACTACTTACTCATAGAAAGATGTTCACAAACTCCAGCGATTTTACTCTTACTAAAGTTTGTATAAAAATGTTCAAGTAATTCAAGATTGTTTTCTACACTGAAATATGAATGCACCAGTTTACGTACATTATCCAAATGATATACAGTATCCGTAATTTTATCATCTGCTTCAATAAGCTTCTTTATTACACGTAGTGCAATCCAATAAGCTATAAGTACACAAGAAAGAGAAAAGAAAACTCCTTGATTAATAATTTAATAAAATGTTTGATAATGAAAGCTATTCATTAAAAGCTATAAGATTTGAATTTCGATATTTCTTTAGATTAAAATAGTATTATTAAGCCAACAAATTCGTTTTGAAACAAATTTCATTGATTGAAAGATCCTATTAATGCAATTCGGTAAAATAATTTGTGAATAAGAACAAGACATATGTATCAACGAAGCCTTTCCTTTAAATGGACTTCATTATCAAGTTGTACAGTCGTATTTATAATCGGTAATCGGTGTTAACATATGAATGAAGTTATTTTTCTTCATTCGCCTTTGATAAACCAAACCGGGTAATGTTCAGCAACGCGTTTTCGGTAGGTCCACTTACAAAATCCAATATAGTCAGCTCCACAGCAGTATGCGAATTTCTAGATTAGGCATAGATGTGAAGATAATTCGTAGCGCATCTTTCAAACATTGCTGAATCAGACGATGGCTAGAGGAAATCAATCTCGGTCTGGCAACGTAAAAGGTACCATTGATACACTATGACATATGGCTTTTCAGAAATTCGATTGTGATATCTTATTTCAATTCCAGATTCATTGTTTAGATTTTCTTAAGAACTGTAATAGGATGACAGACGGTTCGTTTCTGAGAGTTTCGATTTCAACATCCACCAAGTCTTCTAAACAGCGAGTGAATAAGAGATACCCAACTATTAAAGCTTGATAATGAAGCCGTCGATGAGATATATTTCTTCGCTTATACGTGTCTCGCTCGTATTCATGAATAAATGGGTATATTTTATCAGTCAAAATAATTTGGTTTACCAAATCCCTTGCAATTATTCCGAGTTCAAGTACATAGGTCAAAGCAGTCGACCAGGGTCGATTAGAATAACAGAACACAAAAACTTAGCTGAATCAACATTAGTAAATCGTAATAAGAAGTTCAGAGAAAGGCTCGGCTATAACTCTGCACGCAATCACACACAATGGGGTGTGATACAGCGCCAGTATTAAAAACAAACTTAATTGGGTGAAGGGAGGAAGAGATTGATAACCGACTGAATCTTTGTTCATCGAATCCACACCAAATACATGCAGTAATGGAAATGATTCTGCACATGTCCCAGATATGTGGAAAATTCTACTAACCTTATAATCACAAGGAAGGAGATAGAATTATGATTATATAACGTCTGTGTGGAAGTTGTGGGGTTACGTGATGTGAATATGGACATAATATTGTGTCCGCAACGTCGTTATCCAGTGAATGATACTGTTTCTTCATTGTATGATATTTCTAATAAACAGACTCAAATGGAATTACTATCTCCCATAGTGCTCAGGTTTTACTGCTATACTGAGAAGTAGCATTATCAATTATCTCAGTAATATTACGATTGTTTTCATAGCTTTATTTATCTTTTTTATTATTATTATTAGGTTTCTGTGATTTTCTGAAACCCACAGATGAAGACAATTGGTCTGGTACATTGACCTTAGTCCAATTGAAAAGCAATGCAGCATACGGCGCAGCACGTCTTTCAGTTTATTATAATCCTAATCTATTTATCCCTATCTTAAAGGGATCTAGTGTAAAATTCGATGAATTTATTGTTGGTATTCGTTTCTGAAAAATAAGTTTTACTTATATTTTTCAACCAGGGAATTTTTTTTTACTGCTGAATGTATAAAAGGAATTTTTTTTCTCACTCAGGAACGTCTTCACAAATACGTTTTTTTGATAATTTTGTTAATTTTCACTAGACTTTGTAGTTTAGTAATGAAATCTGTTGTGTAAATTTTAACATTTCCTCCATGTGATATCAGTTGGGTTTACAGTAATTGGTGGTAGCGATAGAATCATTCCTCGCATTTTCTCCTTTACATGGATTTGATTGATTTGGTGTTGATCTTATTCATTGAATGATTTTACTTGACAGAGAGTTGAAAATCATGCTTTTCTGAACAGTCGTTTTCGTTAGCTGAAGACTAAGGAACAGTGCATTGATTGGTCACTGGGGGGGGGGGGACCAATTTCATGTTGTCTAGTGTTGGGTGCAGACCGTATTTGTAATATGATCACTAAGCTAGGAGGCTCAACAGTGTGATGCACTTTAGTAGACGGTTGGAGGCGGTCGTCAGGAAGCTCAGGACCTAGGTTAGGGTTTCTTAGGACTCATCAGCAAGGCGTATCTGCAACCCCGATGAAACTGATACCCCGCCTGAGATTCGAACCCGCATTGCGGAATGTTTTAGTCAGAGGCCTTACCACTGAGCTATTTGGGCCATGATTGGTCTCCTGTAGGACTGCGTTACATACATTGATTGGTCACGGGGGAGAAACCAAATTTCATGTTGTCTTGTCCTACCTTAGTGGCCGCATTGGAAATACGATGGATACATTTCGGTCTGCAATCAGGACTAGACAGCATGAAATTGTTTTCTCCCCCATGATCAGTCCTTTAGAAGGTCAACCGCGACCCAATAGCTCAGTGGTAATACCACTGACTACAACACTGGATGACGCGGGTTTGATCTTCAGGTGGGACATCAGTTCCGTTGAGGTTGCAGATGCGCCGTGCTGACGAGTACCACCAAACACGAAATCTAGGTCCAGGACTTACTACCGATTAGCTTTAACCAACCAGTCAACAGCCTTCATTTTTCATGCTTCATGCACTTCGTCCTAAACTCATTTGAACTCTTCGTTGTATCGATAAAATGAGGAAGACGTTTTTCATATAAACTAAATAATACTTGCTGTATGTCGTGAGTTGAAAAAATCTTCTTACAAAATCTCAGTTCATGATCTCTTTAGTGTACATCAAAAATAATCCGAAGTATAATAATGAGGATTTTGAATGTAGACTGGAATAGCTGTGTATTGTGTACAAGATCATTATAGTCTCTGAGGAAAATCATATGCATCGCTTAACCTCATTGTCATCCGGACGTTTTTTATGAACTAGTTATCGAAGTTCACAGTAATTTTTAAGATATTGTTCTGCAATACAAAAGGCGTTTGTAGTGAAGTTGTTTTCTCAATGTCACTATCCACTATTTATAGTTTAAAAGGTGTAACGCTTAATTTCCTTAGAAATTAGAGAGAAATAAGTTAAGAGCTATGAAATAATAATCTTATTAGGCTATAATTTGAAAGTTTCATTAGTTAATTTGTGAGTTCCTAACACAAACATCAGGTGATGAAAATATCAGTCTAGTCGATTATTATTATTTGTCCCTTGGGTTCCTAGTGGAACATAGGGCTTCAGTAGCACGCCCCCAGTGCACTCTGTTCTCTGCAATCTTTTGAACCTGGCTCCACCACTGCCCACAAGCTCTCATTTCCTCCTCACACTATCTCCTCCATGTTACCCTCAGGTGGGATGCCCAACTCGTCGTTTTCCATCTGGGTTCCACTCGAGTGCCTGGCTGACGCGTGATGTCCTCGAATGTTCTTCTTAGTGTATGCCCAATCCATCCCACTTCATTCCAGTGCATATTTGTTGAGTGATAGGTTGTTGGTTGGTTCTTTGCCAGCCAGCCAGAGTATTTTGTTGCTTATTCTCATTATTCTGGCCATCTGATCTTCAGTAACGAGCCATTGTGGGTGGCAGTTGTTGATGAATGTCTGTAGTTTGTTTGAAATGCCTTTCGTGACGCACCAAGTCTCCGAACAATCACATAGAAGCACTGACTTGACTGAATTGGTGTTGAAATCTGGATGTTGTTAACGCTTTGTGCTGAGTTCAGAAGATCTCCACATTGGTTTCCGATTAATGGACTCCTGTCTTGCTGTTTTTCCGATCCTGGCTGCTGTGACATCCTCATCTGTGCCACTTGTAGTTGAAACGATGCCGCCTTAGTAGAAAGGTGAAAGAAGCTACTTCCTTTAAGTTTTTCCCGTTCACTAAATTTTAGAATACTGAAGGCGAAAAAAGTACAAGTACACTTTTATGCAGATTGTAATGAACCACCACAGTTAATGATTACTACCTGGTTACCTAGAGTCGTTTTAGCCCGTAACTAACTTGTTGAAAGTCAGTTGACTATACTAATGTATGATTCAGCCTCTTCTTTTTTTTGTCTGTTTCCATAGGAAGAAGCTATAAAAAGTATTGAGATATTGTAATTTATGATTTGTCGTGCTATAAATAAACAGGGAAGTAAAGTGGTGAAGGTGAAATTCACAGTGGAATTTTTAACATGGTTATCTATTTACCAGCTAACAGAATAATGCATTCCTTCTGAGAAGAAACCTAATCATTAGAAGAACTTGTTTGTCTAAGCATATATACATATATATATATATATATATATATATATATATATATATATATATCATCAGAAACTAATATGGAATATACGGGATATTTCTATGGTAACATTAAAACGACGATAGTTTGAGTGAATATCAACATACTACTGATAATTTACCATAAAACTTGAAAAAAAACCATGTTTATGAAATCATTAAAAAAGCATGCGGATACTGAGTAAATTTATCTAACGAAATACTTTTCAAAACAATTGTTACAATACGTATTCCTTATTCAATTAACTACTCTCGCTTGCATTGAATAGATAGTCTTACTGCTCAACTGGGGATTCTATGACTTACGACATAATATAAGCCAAATAGAAACAGAGGTTTATTTTATATCACAATAATGGAGTTAGTAATAAAACCATAATCTATGGTAGAGAGTTTGAAAGCGTATCTCGTCGATTGATGCTACAGTTACCAGAGTGTAAATTAACAATCTAGTTAGTCATTGTTCACTAATAAGCATAAGGAGGCGCTTAAGTGGTTGAAATTCAGTTATGACCTTATTCTAGTGAGACTAGATAAGAACAGTTGTATAGCGTTATTCGACAAAACGGATCATATCAGAATGACGATTAGAGTACTGGACGATAAATCTAAGTTCCTGGAATTACGAGGTGTCGAGAAATAATTAGCTCTTTGTAGTCACCGTAAAGACAGATTATCTCACTGAAAATATATGGACGGTCGAAAACTAGATTTAATATTCTCAGGTGGTGTACCACTAAAACCAAATTAAGAAGTATGAAACCTACCATACTATGTTGTGACAAAGTGGCTCTCCTAGTTACTGAAAGCAGATGGACTTCCATATGGATGATTCGTTGCTACCCGATTACTCATGATGTAGTCTGCTTAGCGGATAGCACTAAAATCCAGAATTTAGGTTCCGTTCTATTTGGCCTTGTTAACTGAATGTATTTGTACCCTAGTGAGTGATTGTTCTCCCATTGAGATTTTTGTGTCACTAGGTTCGAATTTTAGTTGGAAGGATATCACTCACTAGAGTGCAGGTACGTTCATCCGAAGAGTCCACAATGGTATGAAATGGGCATCCTAAATTCCATTGATGGCCCCCAGACAGATTAAAGTCACCTGTTGATATGATAAACTTTAAACTATACAGGATAGAGGGAACGGCTAATTACACGTCTAAAGTTTTTACGAAAGATTAACTACATATTGGTCTGCATGTGTACGACTTGAAGAAATTATTACTATGATTTGCACACTTAGACTTCAGATTTGTTGTTTGAGGATAAAAAGGTGTTAGCTTATATTAATCCTTTTCCAGTAGATTTCTGTGCTTGTCCAATCCCCTTTCGAATAAGTCAATTGATGGTGCGGACACCACTTCTTCTGGGAGTCGGTTTTAGTCGTTGATTAGGTTTGCCCTGTGTCTGCGATAGGATAAAGTGAAGAGGTCTGTCTGAAGCACACATACAGCCTCGTCATTCCTAGTTTCTCTCCGGATTTTTACATCATCAGCGTAGAGAACCATAGGGGATTTCGTGATATTTGACAGCTTATTTACGTATAGGAGAAACAGCAGGACTGTGCCTTGCGGCACTCCTCTCTCTAACGACTTCCAAGGGGAGAGTTAAGAATTGTTCCTTACTCTATGTCTCCTACCAACGAGGAACTCTCTTATCCATGCAAGTAGACTGCTAGTGATTCCAAAACTTTCCAGTTTCCCTAGTCACCTGGAATGAGGTACCTTGTCGAACACCTTACTAAAGTCTGAAAATGATATCTACAAGTCTATTATCATCTGTCGACTTAACCCAGCTTTCTCTGACTGTAAGTAGGTTCGTCAAGCAAGAGAAATTTCTGCGAAAGCCTTGCTGTGAATGAGACAATAGAGTGTTACTCTCCAGGAGGACTGTGATGGTTTTCTTGAATACTGTTTCTAGGATTTTTACTACAGTACTAGTCATAGTTATCGGTCCGTAATTTGATGGGAGCTGCCTTGTGGATAGGTGTTACTACGGCATCCTTCCAGTCATAAGGGAGTGTACATTCATTGAAGGATAGTCTGAATATGGTAGTCAATGGGCAGGCAATATAGAGTGCAAGCTGTCTGAGCAGCCGCGGGTACAGCTCTTCTGGTCCCGTTGATTTTTCCACGTCGAGATTACCTAATGTCCGAAATGCATCATTGCTATCGATATCCACAGAGTTCATTCTGTTGAATGTCAATGTTTCTACTATTGCATAAGTGTATATAGAAGATTCCTGTATAAAGACCTCAGCAAAATATCCAGCCATAGTTTCTGCTTAGTGTTCAATTCTTTCTTAACAATT